TGGGAATAGGCCCTCTTGTCCGTATCAATAATTTGCTAATCACTCCTGTTGGCAATGTTTTAATGAGGCTGGGCTGTCAGGGCAAAGGAACTGAGGATTTTAGCAGGCAATGACTTTTTTACAAACCCGGAAACTATCATCGCGAAAGCCATACTTGAACTCATTCTTATTCTGATAAACTAGTTTTAAAAAAGATACTTTAATTTGACTATACTTTTATGGTCAATACCAGTCCCTTCACATGGTAAAATGTTAGGAGGATTAGAGGAAATATAATGTGCCATACATCTGCAAGATTTGATGAAATTATTTTAATTACGAGAATATTAACTGATACTAGGAGATCTAATATTAAAAAAAATGTAAAAATTTGGTTGAAAAATTAGAATTCAGCACAGGCTGGATAGACAAAATTCTTAGAAAAAGAAAAGTGTACTAATGAAAAAGCTGAGCAAACTTTTTTTACAACACCTGCCTGTACCTATACGGCATGTAGTAAAGTCTTTTGAAGTAGTCATAATCCCAGTTTCATATGTTGAAAACACACGCACATGCAGATTTCCTGTAAACCTATAATTTAAGCCTGTGATGACTTTGAAATTTTGATGCACTCCTCAAAAGGAGAACAAATAAATTTCATTTTTCTATTTATTCAGTTTAGGTTAGTGAGGTAAAACTGAGTCAAACATTCAAGACGTATAACGACAGGTTCAAGAAATTTTCATAACTAATTTTTAAGGTTAGCCAGTACCTGGAACAATCACTTTCACGTAAAAATTAGACCAGGTTTGTATTGATGATGCCCAACAGAACTATCTGTGACAAGAGGGCAGGCTTTCCTTTCTTTATTTAAAGAAATAATGATGTTATCATCTTTCCACAAGCTCGGTGGAAAGTGAGAGTGAATGAGACTGATGGTGACTATCAAGTTATTTGAATAAACATCCAGAGTCAGGATAAAAAGTCAGACATGGTCTGCAAAACTCTCTCATTTTAATTTATTAACCTATTAAGCTAAAGCTTTACATTCTTGCTTTGTGATTATGTGGATACCAATTACTGGTAATTTAACTTTCATTCATCAAAATACAAAAAAATGTTCTCTTATCTGTGTGCCCTAAACATTACAGGAAAGGAGGCAGGTCAAATAAAAAACAGGAATTAAAATAAGAAGGCCCCCATTAATTTCAGTCCTAATTAAAGGAGGATCCTTGTTTTTCCAGATTCCCACCCTTTTAAACTCATATATCTTGTGACCAATTCCTTATTTCCGATGTTCAGTCTGGGTAGGACCATTGATAAGAAACACCATGCATTAATGAAAGCCTGAGCTGGTGTATTTAATACAATATAAATAATAATATTACATGTTACAGTATGGTAACTTACACAGCAAAATTATATAATCACACAATTCCAAACAAAGGAAGTCAGGTTATTGACTTGCCTGCTTCAACTTTTGAGGGCTTAAGGTACAGAGAATAGATATGGTAAACAGCTACAATTAATACAAAGTTGAAAGTTTGAAAGCTAAAAGATATACATTACAATCATCAGACCCTATGCATCCTAGCAAAAGAAGGGTCATTTACCACCATAAATTCTCCCAAATATTCATGCTCACAGTAAATCATTGATTTTTGTCTCTAGGTGGTACTGTATTTACAATAGTTCTGCCGGTGTGACAGAGCATTACGACCCTGATGAGCCTGAAGTGGAGATCTTTGGATCTAACGATAGCTTAAGCAGTGAGGGTCGAGAGTGGAATTGACAGCCCGTTGATAAACCTATTTATCAGGAATATTCAATGCCATCGGACGACGATTATGATCTCTTGTCAATAAGGAATTCTCGAGCTAGATATCGGGTCATTGATGCGAGCTTACCAGTGGAAGATGAAGACGAACAGCAAGATGAAAATGACGAAATGGCTTGGAAGCGATTCAGACCATCCGTTCTTCGCACAGTTTGTCAATCAATGTACATCGGCGCATTAATTTCACTTTTAACACCTGCCATCATTGGCCTTTTGTACATCATGATCTGTTACGTCTCCTACGAAATGATAAGCAACTGCCAACTTCACCCAAAGGAGACAATCCCAGTTACAATACGGTGGATCAGAACACTGTCTGACTTAATAAGTGTTGCTTTTCTTTACATGTGGTTCTTTGCAGGAATGCTTTTTCTTTTTCTTTTTCGGCCGTATCAGTTAAAGGGCGTGAAAAGAAAACTCATTCTCGTTGCTTTTGTCTTGTATTGGAATATCTCATTCCAAGCTTTCTGTGACTCAGAGGATTCCTCTCTATGTTATATTTCTAATTAGCATATGTTGGCAAGTTTATCTTCTAACAAATCACTTCCGGAACCTGTCGAGGAGAGGGACTTTATTTATAAAATTGACGACACCCTACTGCTTCACTTCCTTTCTTGCCATCTTTGTAGCAACGCTTATTTATCCAATGTACAACAAACAAACTGAGCGTGGAAAACTCCTTATTGCACTCTTCTCACCTCTCTTTGGAGTTATCTTTAAGGTAGCCTCACGACTTTGCACTCAAGGCCTGAAGAAAATTGTTCATCCGGGATACTCGTACATCTTATTAGCGCCGTTGTATTTTGGATCAGCGGTCATATTTCGCGCGATTAGAGCACAAATATCCCGCGATATTGTACGGTTATTTGGACAATTTGTTGTTTTGTGCCGTAAAAAAACCTGTTTAACCAGTCGATTGCGCGCTATCCGTTTTGCTTTTCCTGCCTTATAGGAAATGAGCAGAAAGACCTAGCAGAAAGTACTTGGATAATAAGTAACTTATTAAAAGTTTTAGTGTGTAGTATCGTTGAGTATTTTTAAACCTCATGAGATTTTTAAAATTAATGGACTGAACTTCACACTTGAATATAATTTCTCATGTACTCATGCTAGAATTCAATGCAGTGAACCAAACCCCTGCTTCAGAGTTCTAAAAATAGACGTAAACCAATCTGTTCTAAAGTTTTAAACTATTCGCCAAACTTAATTAGATGCAGTGTTGGTAAACTTTTGCTCTTTTAGTACAACTGCTGGTACGCAACCGAAAAGTCCCATACTTCATCCTGAGGGGTGGGGTGAGAATTAAGAAAAGAGGTTGCACTATTGACTGTAATGTCTCATCTTTCAATTTACTTAATGTCTGAGTGGAAGAGCCAGATGGGAGAATATTTGACTCGAGATCATGACCGAGAGCCAAACATTTTCCCGTCCTTAATATTATGTGAAAACTTAATTAAGTAATTGTTTTATTACACGTTTTTTGAAACAATTTGCCAAAGGAGACACTACTCACTTAGTTTGCAAAAGTTTAAGAGCAGACTTTGAACTCAACATGATAACCCAATATCTGTTGCAGATGCCGGGTTATCATGTCAACTTCATACGCCTATGTATACTGACTGAATTCTCTCCAACAAATCAGAGTTTTCATAGTTACTCTATTGTATAAAAATATTCCTTTTTACTTTGTTAATGTCAGAAAAGCAATGATAGTTGTATATTAACAGAGAATTACATTGGCGACATAAACGTTTGAACGTCCACAAAATCAGTAATTAGTTTGAAATCACTCGTTCTGTAACTACGGAATTTTACACTCAGCAAAATAAAAGCAATTAAGAACTGATTTGCTCTTCTCATTTCAAGTGTTAACGATACTCCAGGCTTACATAGTATTGATATAACAATTCGATCGGTTCTCGATGCTTGGTAAACGGAACAAAAGCACGTGGCAGAAGTGATTAATGACAACCATCATGCTTCTTTCGAGTACTTCTGCAACGCCGTGAATTATTCCAAGAGTAGCCATGGATTGTAAATTGTCTAAGTCGGCTTGCAATACTCGAAACATAACAGCTGAACCAAAATACACCGGCACCA